ATAGAATACATTGACAAACGTAAATTTAATATGTTTAAACAACATTTCAAGAAGCTTTGATTTGATTCGGCAATGGATTACCAATGTTGTGTACTTAACTTGAATGAAATCTCCTTCATCTTCTTTAATATGTTCCAAAACAGATACCATCTAAAAAACTTCTGCACATATCCCTAGTTATCCTTCTGCAATTGGCATTCGAATTGGAAAAGACTATTTTCAGAAAAAATCTTTTTATTCTCGAACATACGATATTTTTTAATCCAATTTTTCATAATGTTTTTCTTTTTGCTCGCTTTTGTACTGAAAGCTATACTATTTTATTGTTAATCTAGAAACATAACTTTATCGAATGACGTGTTATATTAATGAAATATGTTTTGGCATGTCACGTTCGGCGCTCATTTTTACTATGATAAGAATAGTCCTATATACATAGCAGAGAAAGGTATATAGTGATAAGATATATGTAAAAGAGTACTCTTTTAGGTTACATAATTTATATAGTGAATATATAAAGTAAAATCCTGCATTGACCATTCAACCAAGTATAAGTCGTAGGAATAATCGTATTTTGTAAATAAATTACATTTTATTAAAAAATGTCGTTTCCAGAAAAAGTAACATGTATTAATGCTAATTGTGGAAAAACGTTTCGTGTGTCCTCGGATAAAATTCGCAACGTATCTGATCAACAAACATATTCTTGGTTGCATGAAATATTAACAAAAAAAGGTAGCAAGATCCCAAACAAGGAACAAATTTTCTGCTGCCAAGCATGTATACTAGGATTTCGTCGGTCTTTACAAAACACCTCCAGTAGTATAGCTGATTTTCATGAGCAACGTGTAGAGATGGATACAAGTGATTGTGACAATAGCGATGGTGACGATGAACAATTGCTAACAGTTGATTCTTTAACATATGCTGGATCAAGCCATCGTCAGTGTGTTATTTGTCGGAAGGATGTTGGCGCAGGTTGCTGTGTGATGCTAAAAAGAGCACGTCTTGATTTACTTATTATTCATCATATGTATGCACCACATGGCGTTCGTTGTTGTCGTACACATTTGATAACAGAACGATTATTACCAGATTCATTTGTCAATATGGAAAACATACAAACAATGAATGTAGCATTAGATTCAAATGAAGTTATTAACCTTTTGAACGATCTACTTGGTTTACTCGAAGATGTAGGCTCTTGATATTGATACTTTTGATAAGTGAGTTTTGTTTCTGAATATATCATATTTAAAAAGAAGAAGGGGGTCATCAGGAGGATAGAAACAGACAAGTTTTCGAGGACTGAAATATTTTAAGGTCAAGTCTCTACTTTTCCATAGAGTAAAACTGGATGTCTAGAATCTAGAATTACTCACTGTTTTCCAATTTTTTTCCACCCTTTCTAGGCTACACGCGCACCACGACTTGATTTTAATGATATGAATTTGACCGGCGATGATTATCTAATATGGACAGATTTAACTCAATCTCAATATGATGAAATGTATCTGTTAATTCATCCTTTCATACGTAGTTCGTGCAATCGAGATTCTCGTAACTCTTTTGCGATATTTTGAATAAAAATGAAAACTAACTTATCTTTCACCCAACTTGGTTCGGTATTTAACATACCAGGCTCAGCAGAAGATCGTCGAAAACGAGCTAGCGACGCATTTCAAACAGTTGAAAATATATTAATGGAAATTTTTGTTCCTCAACGGTTAGGTGTTAGCCATATTTCTCGCCAACAGGCAGAAGAACATCATACAATTTATTCGAAAGAATTTTTTGGTTCTCTTTGTCTTATATGGGATGGTACTTATATATATACTGGTAAAAGTGCTGATCATGGATTAAATCGCGCAATGTATTCGGTTCAAAAGAAAAGACATCTTGTGAAATTCATGTCTCTTGTACTTCCTGATGGGTACGTTTTGGATACAATAGGACCATTCTATGGAAATGAAAATGACGCTAAAATATGTGAACAAATTTTGACAACAATGGATCGATTGAGAGAATGGTGCAATGTCAATGACGTCATGATAGTAGATCGCGGTTTTCGTGATATATTAATTACATTTGAAGAATTAGGATTTGATTCCAAAATGCCCGCTTATCTTGCTCGAAATATGAAACAACATACTGCTGAAGAAGCAAATGACTCACATCTGGTAACAAAGATCAGATGGGTGGTAGAGGCTTATCATAGCAGAATGAAAAAAATGGCGTTTTCTTTCGGAAAGAGTTGAAAACTCAATGATACCACATCTTAAGCCATGTGTTCAGATTATATCGGCTGTACTAAATGCATATCGTCCAAGAACAACTGAATCAGTTGATCCGCAAGCCCAGAAAACATTGGCTATGTCAACGGAACAACGTGCAGCAATGCAAAATGATTTAAAAAAACGGGTGGAATCCGGAAAATTAAGTTCAAAATCGAACTGGGAAAAAATCAATGAAGCAGATTTTGATTTTCCTCTTCTTGATCTCGATGATTTATGTTCTTTGTTCTTCCGTGTCTACCAACTTAAGCAAAGTCGGAGTTATACAGCTGAACATTTGGATGATGATGGAAATTACTATATTGAAATTAAACCGTATGAACATAGTCTCATTCGATGTGCTATACGTACTCGACATTCGCACAGCACAAAATATTATGTATGGGTTGAATATTCATTACGCGATACATCAGAGCCTACTAAATGTCGGCATTTAAAATTTAAAAGTGGTGAGAGAACCGTTGGTTGTTGTGCACATGTCGCCTGCATTATATGGTGAGGGAGAGGGTAGGGGTGAGGGCGAGGGGGCGGTTGGTCCGCCATCTTGTTTTCTAGTTTTAAACGCTTTTGCACCACTTTTAAAATAAAGTTTTTGCGCTCAGTTGTGGAAAGTTGAATTCCCTATGGCACGTGACCTTCGAATTGTTCGCGAAATTCTGTTTGGAGGGTCAAAAGTGACAATTTTGACCCTTGAAAATCCCAGTTTGTGGGTTTCAAACAGTCACTTCCTACTTCAGAAAAGTTAGGAACTATGCGACTTTGTTCACATTTTTTATCAGGCTTTCGAATGAGATGTTGCTCGAACAGAACGGATAAAAAATGGCGGAGTTATAGTCAAAATATCAGAGTTTCGCAAATCGACGATGCTGCACATTTTGTAAATTCTATAACTCAACCAGAATAAGTCAGACACTTTTCTCCTACTTTTCATAACCCCAGTTTTGATAGTAGAATCCGAATATGAAATAAAAAGTAGATGTCAATTTTTCACTCGTGACTTAATTTCTTGATGCACGGGCAAAACGTCTCTTAAACACTTAATATCGGTTGTAAATAACCAGCAGCTTGTTGTGAATATTGCTAAATACGATATCTCATTAAATAACGAATCATTAAAATAGTTTCTAATCACGGTCATTTTTCATTAAGTTCATATTTCCCAGCCTTTGTATAGAGAAATGAAAAATGTCGACAATTTTTCGATTTTTTATGTTCAGTTTGCGAGCAAACTCTGACAAAATTTTTCCTTTCTCCAAAACATTTCAAAGCACATCATCTGACGCTGATTCCAAATGTCACGTTATTTTTGTTATTAAGTGATGTTTTGATGACGAAAATGTCAAAAAACGGAAAGCTCGCGGCTGCTCCGCCATCTTGTTTTCTAGTTTTAAAAGCTTTTGCACCACTTTTAAAATAAAGTTTTTGCGCTCAGTTGTGGAAAGTTGAATTCTCTATGGCATGTGACCTTCGAATTGTCAGCGAAATTCTGTTTGCAGGGTCAAAAGTGACAGTTTTGTACCTTGAAAAGCCCAGTTTGCGGGTTTAAAACAGTCACTACCCACCTCAAAAAACTTAGGAACTATGCGACTTTGTTCACTCTTCATCAGGCTTTCGAATGAGATGTTGCTCGAACAGAACGGACAAAAAATGGCGGAGTTATAGTCAAAATATCAGAGTTTCGCAAATCGACAATGGTGCTCATTTTGTAAATTCTATAACTCAGCCAGAATAAGTCAGAGAACTTTTTCATAACCCCAGTTTTGATAGCAGAATCCGAATATGAAATAAAAAGTAGATGTCAATTTTTCACTCGTGACTTGATTTCTTGATGCGCGGGCAAAACATCTCTTAGACACTTAATATCGGTTCTAAATAAGCAGCAGCTTGTTGTGAATATTGCTAAATACGATATCCCATTAAAAAACGAATCATTAAAATAGTTTCTAATCATGGTCCCTTTTTATTAAGTTCCTATTTCCCAGCCTTTATTTAGAGAAATGAAAAATGTCGACAATTTTTCGATTACTTATCCTCACCGTGCTAGCAAATTCCGACAAAATTCTTCATTTCTCTACAACATTTCGAAGGCACATCATCTGGCGCTGATTCCAAATGTTACGTTATTTTTGTTTTTAAGTGATGTTTTGATGACTAAAATGTCAAAAAACGGAAAACTGACGGTTGGTCCGCCATCTTGTTTTCTACTTTTAAAAGCTTTTGCGCCATTTTTGAAATAAAGTTTTTAGGCTCAGTTGTGGAAAGTCGAATTCTCTATGGTATGTGACCTTCGAATTGTTAGCGACATTCTGTTTGGAGGGTCCAAAGTGACAATTTTGACCCCTGACAATCCCAGTTTGTGGGTTTCAAACCGTCACTTCCTGCTTGACAAAAGTTAGGAACTATGCGACTTTGTTCACTTTTTACCAGGCTATCGAATGAGATGTTGCTCGAACAGAACGGATAGAAAATGGCGGAGTTATAGTCAAAATATCAGAGTTTCGCAAATCGACGAATGTGCTCATTTTGTAAATTCTACAACTCAGCCAGGGTAAGTCAGACACTTTTTTCATAACCCCAGTTTTGACAGCAGAATCCAAATATGAAATAAAAAGTATATCTCAATTTTTCACTCGTCACTTGATTTCTTGATGCGCGGGCAAAACGTCTCTTAAACACTTAATATCGGTTGTAAATAAGCAGCAGCTTGTTGTGAATATTGATAAATACGATATCTCATTAAATAACGAATCACTAAAATAGTTTCTAATCATGGTCATGTTTCATTAAGTTCATATTTCGCAGCCTTTGTTTAGAGAAATGAAAAATGGCCACAATTCTTCGATTTTTCATGTTCAGTTTGCGAGCAAATTTTGACAAAATTTCTGATTTCTCTAAAACATTTCGAAGGCACATCATCTGACGCTGATTCCAAATGTTAAGTTATTTTTGTTTCTAAGTGATGTTTTGCTGACGAAAATGTCAAAAAACGGAAAGCTCGCGGCTGCTCCGCCATCTTGTTTTCTAGTTTTAAACGCTTTTGCACCACTTTTAAAATAAAGTTTTTGCGCTCAGTTGTGGAAAGTTGAATTCTCTATGGCATGTGACCTTCGAATTGTTAGCGAAATTCTGTTTGCAGGGTCAAAAGTGACAATTTTGACCCTTGAAAATCCCAGTTTGTGGGTTTCGAACAGTCACTTCCTACTTCAGAAAAGTTAGTAACTATGCGACTTTGTTCACTTTTTATCAGGCTTTCGAATGAGATGTTGCTCGAACAGAACGGATAGAAAATGGCGGAGTTATAGTCAAAGTATCAGAGTTTCGCAAATCGACGAAGGTGCTCATTTTGTAAATTCTACAACTCAGCCAGAATAAGTGAGACACTTTTTTCATAACCCCAGTTTTAATAGTAGAATCCGAATATGAATTAAAAAGTATATGTCAATTTTTCGCTCGTCACTTGATTTCTTGATGCGCGGGCGA